TTCAAACCCGCCACCTTAGGTGTATGTGGCTGGCGCCTTAGCCGCTTGAGCCACAGGCGCCGAGCCACAAATCTCTCTTACTCACCATCTCCAGACCCAGCAGCACTAGCAGTGGCACAGTGGTGGCCCCAGCTCGGACCCACTCAGCAAGGGAGACGGAGCCACTGCCATCATAGTCGATCTTTTTCATCATCTCCTGAAGAATCTGAGCAGAGAGTGGGAAAAGACTTTTGGTATGAGTGGCTTCTCAGACCTGACTCTTCTCCCCTGTGTCTTAGGATATCCAGCCCAGCCAACCCGGTCAAGGTAACGGCAGATGAGGAATTCGTGGGAAAGAATGTACAATAAGGGACATGAAGGAAGAACTAACTGCCTTACCGGCCTCAGCTCAGACACATCCCAATCCAGGTATTCAGCCACTCGCATCATCTGTAGGATGATTTTTTCCACTTCCTGGGGCAAAGAGTGTAAGATTCACAACCATATCTCCCTCACTACCACTATCTAAATTCTTCTTCAGAAATCAGGGTTCTCAGATTCCACCCCCAGCCCTGTCTCTCATTCTCAGGTGCCTCTGCCAAGTAAATAAATGTGCATGTGTTTGTAAGGCAGGTTCCCAGTTCTTCTCTCCAGCCTTCTCTTTGAGAGTCAAGAGCTTGGGGCCTAATACCAAATTTAACCCAAGAGTACCCAACCTTTCCCCCTATCCTCCTTTGCTGTTTCAAACCCTAGAAGAGCTGGGGGAGAAGGGCACAAACAAATGGACACATATTCCCTTGTCCAGCAAACCCAGGGGTACCCCAACTCACTGAACTGTCCAGGATCCCATTTCTGTCCGTATCGTACAGCTTGAAGGTGACTGTGGGGGTGTTTTAGGGGGGCCATGGTCAGTTTGTGAGAGGTATTCAAAGAACTCATACCAGAATACACGGAAAACAGAAATAGGGAGAGGGCTTTTGAGTGAAGAGGGAGCCTAGAGCTTGGGATGAGTCTGAGAAAGGAGACAGAAAGGGAGGGGAAATAGGCATGGATTCTACCCTTGTGGATCTGACAGCAGACAGCACGCATTCATACCCCCAAAACATCCCAGGCCACCTACATGGGAAGGGACAAGACATGGGAATAGGGGTGACTATGGTGGGTAGCATTAGGTATAAGGAGTCTTGGGGAACAGAGGAAATGGGCTCCTTCTATGGCCCCACCTTTATCTGGCCCTGTCAGCCTTTATGAATCCTGAAAGAATGAGGGAAAGGAGGCTAGGGAACACCTTTCTCTCTTTACCCACTCCCTTTACCCCCAGTCCAGAGTGGCAACTCACATTCTAGCTTATCTTCTGCCCGGCCGCCCTCCAGAAGGGAAAAGTAGCATGAGACATCACTGAGACACACCACATCTGGTTACAAAAAAGTACTGCAAATCTGAGATCAGGGCTCCCTCCAATTTGACTCTTCCCTTTTCCTCTGTTCCCACTCTCCTCTTTAACTTTCTTCCCTCCAGCTCCTAGACCAGCCTTGGCACCCTCCATGTTTCTCCCTCAACCTACCCACAGCATGTGACTGAAGTCAACTCTCATTCCCAAACCCAAAGTAATTTGACTTTTCTTCCAAGGTCCAGCCCCATCCTTTCTACTTGACCATACCTTTTGTTGAAATCTCCTTTAAGCTCTGACCAGTCTGGAAGGATTGAAACAGTGCCAGGCTTAGGTGACTGGGAACATTATCCAGTTCCAGATAGATTTTCAGGAATTCCTTGAATCCCTCGTAACCGATAGCCTATCATGAAAGTGAGCATTACCCTGGGAAGTCTTTCAGTTGAGGACTAATAAACCGGGAGTAGTGGGGACAAAGACAATAAATGCAGAACTAAGAAACATCTGAGGCAGGAGTATGGTCTCTTGGGCCAAGTCATAAGTTAACAGAATCTCTTATTTTAATAGATGCAGTGACACCGGACACTGGAGTATCTCGTGGAAGGAGAGCAAGAGGTGGGACCAGAATAATCTCTGGAAGCTGGGGATCCCAATGAAGTAGCAAAAACAAAGATGAGAAGAGTTGGTCAAGGAGAAAGATTTCCCAGCTGCCACTCACATCTCCTTGTAGATATTTAGCCATCTCACCATCCTCAAAGAGCTTTAGGACATCACTGACTTTTTTGGTGGAGTCTAGGGTATGAAGAGAGTAAGAGAAGTGCATTAGTCCAGCTCAGCTCTCCCTTCCAGACACCCAGCAGGAGACATGATTTGAATGAGATGAAGAAAGAAGAGATAAATTGGATGAGAATGTTTCAAATTGTATATGGAAACAACACACTGTACCCCCTGCACAACTATGATTTAATAAAAAAAAAAGAAAGAAAGAAAGAAAAAGGAAATTCCAAGAAGAAACACAGAATTACAGAGGGAAAAACCTTTCAGATCCTCCAAAGTGGTACCACTCTTTACTCTAACTGGAAAAAGCTGTCTAGGTATAGAGAAGATGGATAGAGAGCAGGGATCTCAGGCATCTCCCCATTTCCCTCTCCTCCTTTCCCCAGTCATGGGCATATCTGAGGATCAGGCTAGCTCAAGGCCACTAGGGAAACTACGGGAGAGGGAATGGAATGAGAAGGACAAGGGATTCTCTGGCGTACGGTCTCCAGAATGGAAGGGCTGAGAGGAAGACTCACAATCCATGTATTTTTGCAGCTGGGCAAAATCACTAGGGCTTACTAGGCCCCTCTCCTTGGCCATCTGTTTCTTCTTCTTAAGGATGTTCAGAAAGACAACTTGGTAGTAGAATTTCAGGTGCTTGGTCCTGTTCAGAGGGTAGTCCTGGAGGAAGATGACAAGAGCTTGCAGTGGGAAGAGCCAGCTGTCTGGACAGTCTTTTTTTCTTCTGTCTGCTCCATTTTGTTTAAACCTACTCCCCTTGCTATTTTTGTTTTTTCCTTGTCTCTGAGTCACCCCTATATCTCTCCCTATGTCCCTCTCTCCTATGTCTTTGTGCTCCCAGAGATGATCCTTACCTCTCCGCCCCATTTTTCCCAGTCTGTGTATGTTTCCTTGAGTGCGTCCCTTGTCTGTTTCTGCACTTTCTCTCGCCACGCCCAATCTTTGCAGTCTCTCCCATCTCCGTCCAGGACAACTGGACAGCGTTCTCTGTTTCTCTGACTCATCTTTAAATGTCTCCCCTCGTTTCTGGATCCTTCCCCCACTCTCTGAGTTCTTTCCCAATCTGTCTTGGTTCTTCTGACCAGGCTTACCTTCCCAACCCCACCCCCTACCCTGCTTTCCCAGTCCATATATGTTTGAGTGAGTGTGTTCCTTGTCCGTTTCTGCACTTTCTCTTGCCATCCCCAACCTCTGCGGTCTTTCCCCAGTCTGCCCTTTCTCCCATCTCGGTCTCAGTACAGCTGAATCGGCCCTCGGGTCATTCTTACTTTGGAAGCTCTTCGTCTTCCCAAGCATGACCCCATTTTGCTCTGCCTCTAGCCCGAGTACCCTGTCTCGCTCAGCCACCCACTCCCTAAGCCACCCACGCCCCGCAACGACCTCTAGCGCTTCTGACGCGCGACACAGAACCAGCTCTGGCTGAGTCCCCAGTCCCGGCCCCGCCTCGCCTGCGTTGCACGGGGTTCCACTTGGGAAGGGCGGGGACCCAGCGCAGGGGTAGGAGGAAATAGGGGAAGAGCCTCTGAGCACCCGCCTGCTGTGCCAGTCCCGGGACGGTGGAGCCGAGCACTGCAGTTCTGGATGCTGGGATCTTCCTTCCACCCTGCTAGGTTAGCAGTGTTTAGGGAGCCCCAATTTTTGGCTATAGGACCCAGGGACCAAGAAAGAGCCGTCACGTGGATTCTGCCCAAGGAGCAAGTTGAGAGGGCGACTAAAGATTCATAAATATCTTTGTGACTTAGGAAAGTTACATTTATAAAATGGGGAGAATGATAACCTATATTTCACAATTGTGAGGCTTAAGTAAAATAATGTATGAAAAGTGCCTAGTATAATGCCTGGCATTATACTTGAGGCCCACAAGACATGGGCCTGAGGGACTCATAGGAGAGAGGGACATAGTTATTATTGTATTAAATAGAATCAAATCCTGTGAGATAGGAAACTAGTGGTATAGCCATTCTACCAATGAAGAAACTGGAGCTCAGAGAAGCTAGGACTTCCTAAGGCAGTTGATAAGTGGAGAACCCATGGCTCCAGCCCTGGGACCACATGGTAGATCTTCTGCCTCTTATTGTGTCCTCCTCTTGTTCCACTCTTCCCTTCACAAGTTGCTGTCTAGTTTCACTGCCCTCCTTTCTGTTCCTCAAGCATGCCAAACTCTTCCCCGCTCAGGGCCAGGAGACTTACTGCTCTGCCAGGGACATCCTCCCATTCTTGGCACAGCCAAGTTCTTGTCTCAGCTGAAATGTCAGCTCCTCCAAGAGACCTTCCCTGATCTCCTAAAGTAACTGCCTCCTCTTCTGCACAGCAGCCTCCTTTGTTTCCTTTATAGAATTTATCACAAGTAAAAATTATCTTCCCGGGCAGCGCCTGTGGCTCAGTCAGTAGGGTGCTAGCCCCATATGCTGAGGGTGGCAGGTTCAAACTGCAACAAAAAACAGCCAGGCGTTGTGGCGGGTGCCTGTAGTCCCAGCTACTTGGGAGGCTGAAGCAAGAGAATCGCCTAAGCCCAAGAGCTAGAGGTTGCTGTGAGCTGTGATGGCACCAAACTCTACGGAGGGCAACAAAGTAAAACTCAGTCTCACAGACAAACAAACAAAAACCCCAAAATTATCTTCCCTAATTTATTAGTATTGTTGCCTACTGTTTGTCTTCTACTAAAATATTAAGTTCCCCAAAGGCAAGACGTTGCCAGTCTTGTTCCCCACTGTATCCCTGGTACCTAAAACAGTGCTGCACACATTGGGGGGAAGGGGGGAAATGCTCAATATCAGTTATACAAATGGTTGTATAAAGCCATACATATTTTGGAACTAATAATCCAAGTATAGTTAAATGGGATGCCAAAATGTCTGGTAGTCAGGGGAATATGAGATAATTTGGAGCACATATAGTAGGTGCTAATAAGTATTTGTTAAATGAATGAATGATGTTAAAAAGCACTTACTGAAGTACTCCATCAAACACCTGACCTCCACCCACTCATTTAGGGCACGTTGGGTCAGGCTTAGGGAAGCAGTTAGGGCCTACAAGAATAACTCAGCCCCTTTTCTTTCTGATTGTGCAAGAATCTTCTACGCAGCCTCTGCCCTTGGGACATCTCTGCTGCCTACCTCTATGCAGCGCACCATTCTTGTTCCAGCTGCTCTTTGGTTTCCTTTTTTGTTGTTATTGAGAAAGAGTCTCACTCTGTCACCATGGGTAGAGTGCAGTGGTGTCA